GTGGTCGGCGCCGGCATCGTCGGCCTCGCCCACGCCCTGGCCGCCGCGCGGCGCGGCTGGCGCGTGGTGGTGCTGGAGCGCGAGGGCCGGGCCGTCGGCGCCTCGCTGCGCAACTTCGGCTTCGTCACGGTCACCGGCCAGCAGCGCGGCACCTGCTGGCGCCGGGCGCGGCGCAGCCGCGAGGTCTGGGCCGAGGTGGCGCCGCAGGCCGGCATCCCGGTCGAGCACGAGGGGCTGGTCTTCGCGGCGCGCAGTCCCGAGGCCCTGGCCGGTCTGGAAGCCTTTCTGGACAGCGATGCGGAGATGGCGGCCGGCTGCGCCCTGCTGGAGGCGGCCGAGGCGGTGCGGCGCTACCCGCAGCTCCGCCGGGCCGGGCTGCATGGCGCGCTCTGGTCGCCGCACGAGCTGCGCGTCGACCCGCGCCTGGCCGTCGACCGGCTGGCCGCCTGGCTGAGCGAGACCCACGCGGTCGAGATCCGCTACGGCGTCACGGTGACCGGCGTCGACAACGGCTGGTTGCAGAGCGATGCCGGGCCGATCCACGCCGGCGCGGTGGTGGTCTGTCCCGGCGCCGACCTGCAGGGACTCTACCGCCAGCGCCTGGCCGGCTTCGGCCTGACCAAGTGCAAGCTGCACATGCTGCGCCTGGCGCCCCAGCCGTCCGGCTGGCGCCTGCCCGGCGGGGTGATGACCGACCCCTCGATCCCGCGCTACCTGGGCTATGCGGAGCTGCCGGCGGCGCGGGCGGTGCGGGCCAGGCTGGAGCGCGAGCGGCCGGAGCTGCTGGAGATGGGCATCCACCTGATCGTCACCCAGGACGCCGACGGCAGCCTGGTGGTGGGCGACTCCCACCACTACGGCGACCCGCCCATGATCTTTCAGGACGAGCGGGTCGACCGGGCGATCCTCGATCTGGCGGTCGAGACGCTGGAGCTGCCCGAGCGCCGGGTTGTCGCGCGCTGGACCGGCGTCTATCCCTCGCACCCCTCCAAGCTGGCGCTGATCGACGCGCCGGAGCCGCGCGTGCGGCTGGTGCTGGTGACCAGCGGCACCGGCATGTCGACGGCCTTCGCGCTGGGCGAAGAGGTGGTGGATGATCTGGCGGGCGACGGCCTGAACGCGGGAGCGGCGCAATGACGGGCGAAACGGTGAGCTACCGGCATCTCAAGGCGGTGATCTTCGACTGGGCCGGAACGGTGGTCGACCACGGCAGCCGCGCGCCCATGGGCGCCTTCGTCGCGGCCTTCGGGCGCTTCGGCGTGGACCTCTCCATCGCGCAGGCGCGCCGGCCCATGGGGCTGCCCAAGCGCGACCACATCAAGGCGCTGCTGGAGATGCCGGAGGTCGCCGCCGGCTGGCAGGCCGCCCAGGGCGGTTCCCCGGACGAGGCGGCGATCGACCGGCTCTACGAGGTCTTCGTGCCGATGAACGCCGAGGTGGTCGCCCGCCATGCGGAGCTGATCCCCGGCGCGGCGGAGACCGTGGCGGCGCTGCGCGCGGCCGGCCTGAAGATCGGCTCGACCACCGGCTACGTGCGCGAGATCATGGCGCGGCTGACCGGCCCGGCCGCCGCCCAGGGCTTCGCCCCCGACAACCTGGTCTGCGCCGGCGACCTGCCCGAGGGCCGGCCCAGCCCCTTCAACATCTACCGCACGCTGCTCGACCTGCAGGTCTGGCCGGCGGCGGCCTGCGTGAAGATCGACGACACCGAACCCGGCATCGCCGAGGGCGTCAACGCCGGCTGCTGGACCGTCGGCGTGGCGCTGACCGGCAACACCGTCGGCCTGACGGCCGAGGAGCTGGCGGCCCTGCCCGCGGCGGAGGTGGCGGGCCTGCGCGCGCGGGCCACGGCGCGGCTGAAGGCGGCCGGCGCCCATCTGGTGGTCGACGGGGTGGCCGACCTGCAGCCGGCCCTGGCCGACCTGGAAGGCCGGCTGGCACGCGGCCAACGCCCCTGACAACCGCGCCCCGGTTGGACCGGAGGGGGGGGGGCGCCGGCGCCGGGCGCCCGCACGGCGGTTCCCTGCGCGCGCCAATGCCTCTAGAAAGGAGGCCAGAACCGGGGAGGGTAGGGCCGCATGGATACGCCGGCAGACGAGCGAAAAAGCATCGGCATCATCGGCTTGGGCATCATGGGCCGGCGCCTGTTGGGGGCGATCCAGCGCCACCCCGGCTTTCGTCCCGGGCCGCTGTGGGACCCGGCCGAGGCCGCTTGCGACCAGGCCCGCGCCCTGGCGCCGGCGGCGGAGATGGCGGAGTCCGCCGCGGCGGTGATCGCCGGCGCCGAGGTCGTCTACCTCGCCTGCCCGCCGGGGCCGCGCCGCGCCCACGCGCTGGCCGCTGCGGCCGCCGGCAAGCCGGTCTTCCTGGAAAAGCCGTTCGGCGTGGAACTGGCGGCCAGCCGCGATCTGGCCCGGCGTCTGGCGGACTCCGGCGTGCCGGCGGCGGTCAACTTCACCCAGGCCGCCAGCCCGGCGCTGGCAGAGGTGCGCCGCGCGCTGGATGCCGGCGAGCTGGGCGAACTGCTGGGCATCGACATTCTGGTCAACTACGCCGCCTGGCCGCGCGCCTGGCAGGCGCAGGCCGACTGGCTGCGCCTGCGGGCCGAGGGCGGCTTCACCCGCGAGGTGATCTCCCACTTCCTGTTTCTCTCCGCGCGGCTGCTGGGGCCGCTGCGGGTTGTCTGGTCGCGCCCCGACTTCCCGAGCGACGAGCTGGCGGAGACCGCGCTGCTGGCGCGTCTGGAGGGGCCGGACGACGCGCCGGTCTCGATCCTCGGCACGGTCGGCGGCGCGCGGCCCGACCGTCAGGAGGTGACGATCCGCGGCAGCCGGCGCAGCTACCGCATCAGCGACTTCTACGAGCTGGAGGTGTCCGACGGCGGCGCCTTTGTCGGTGCCCGGACGGCGGCGGAAGACCCGCGCCAGGAGGCGCTGCAGGCGCAGCTCGACGCCCTGGCGGACTGGGCCGCCGGCCGGCCGCACCCGCTGGCGACGGTGGCCGAGGCCTTCGCCGTGCAGCAGTGGGTGGAGGCGCTGCTGGCCGGCGGTGAATAGTTGCAAATAAAAACGCCACGGGAAAACGAGATTTGACAAAGCCACGGGGGGGACCGGGGATGGACTACGTTTCGCTGGGCAAGACGGGTGTCAAGGTCTCGCAGCTCTGCTTCGGCACGATGTCGTTCGGCGGCGACGCCGACGCGGCGGAGGCGGAGCGGATGTACACGGCCTGCCGCGAGGCGGGGATCAACTTCTTCGACTGCGCGGACATGTATAGCCAGGGCCGGGCCGAGGAGATTCTGGGCCGCCTGATCGCACCGGAGCGCGACCAGCTCGTCATCACCTCCAAGTGCTTCAACCCCATGGGCCAGGGGCGTAACGACCGGGGCCTCAACCGCCGCCATATCCTGCGCGCCGTCGAGGCCAGCCTGCAGCGGCTGAACACCGACCGCCTCGACCTGCTGTTCCTGCACAAGTGGGACCCCGAGACGCCGCTGGAGGAAACCCTGCGCGCGCTGGAGGATTTGGTGCGCGCCGGCAAGGTGGTCTACACCGGCGCCAGCAACTTCGCCGCCTGGCAGATCGCCAAGGCGCTCGGCCTGTCGGCGCGGCACGGCTGGGCCGCCTTCGACGTGATCCAGCCGATGTATTCCCTGGTCAAGCGCCAGGCCGAGTCCGAGATCCTGCCGCTGGCCGCGGCCGAGGGGGTGGGCGTGATCACCTACAGCCCGCTGGGCGGCGGCCTGCTGAGCGGCAAGTACGGCCCCGAGCGCAAGCCCGCGCAGGGCCGGCTGATCGACAACAAGATGTACGCCAGCCGCTACAGCGAGGACTGGACCTACCGCACCGCGGCCGACTTCACGGCCTTCGCCCAGGCGCGCGGGCTGCACCCCGTCAGCCTTGCGGTCGCCTGGGCCGGAGCCCATCCTGCGGTGACCAGCCCCATCGTCGGGGCGCGCAATCTGGAGCAGCTCACCCCGGCACTGCGCTCGGTCGAGATCGACATGACGCCGGAGCTGCGCACCGAGATTTCGGCCCTGTCGCGCACCCCGGCGCCCGCAACCGACCGACTGGAGGAAGCGTGACCGGCGCCTCGCAACCCTCTTCGACCCGCACGGCGGACATCCTGATCATCGGCGGCGGCATGGCCGGCGCCTCGGCCGCGGCGGAGCTCGCGGCCGAGGCCAAGGTGCTGCTGCTGGAAAGCGAGGAGCGGCCGGGCCACCACGCCACCGGGCGCTCCGCCGCCATCTTCATCCAGAACTACGGCAACGCGGCGATCCGCCGGTTGAGCAAGGCCAGCCGGCCGCTGTTCGAGGCGCATCCCCTGGCCGAGGACGCGCGCAGCCTGCTTTCGGAGCGCGGCATCCTGTTCCTCGCCGACGCCGCGCAGGGCGCCGCGCTGGATGCCCTGCTGGCCGAGGGCGACGGCCTGGCCGAGATCGACGCGGCGGCGGTGCGCGCGCTGGTGCCGGCCCTGCGCCCGGACAGCTTCCAGCGCGCCGCCTACGAGGCCGACGCCATGGACATCGACGTCGACCGCCTGCACCAGATCTACCTGCGCCACCTGAAGCGCAGCGGCGGCGCGCTGGTCTGCCGCGCCGGCGTCACCGCGCTGGAGCGGCGCGGCGGCACCTGGCGGGTGGACACACCGACCGGCCGCTTCGAGGCGCCGGTGGTGGTTGACGCCGCCGGCGCCTGGGCCGACGCCACGGCCGCGCTGGCCGGCGTCGCGCCGGTCGGCCTGCGTG